ACATGAATAGAAAACCTAAAGTATTGTAAGTATCGTAGATAAAATTAAAGGATTAAAATATTAATTATTTATTACACAATAGATCCTATCTATCCATTTCTAATGGTATAATCATTTCAAAACTAAAAACTTGATGTTGTAAGTTGCGTAAACTTAACTTTTGTAAGCGTAAATCAGACTAATCAGATTAATAAAAATCTTTGGGGTGGCTTAATCTGAATAAAAGATATCTACAATGTTTTATTATTTTGACTCCATTTTTGGTCCGGTACCGTTCCGTCTTTCGGCACTGTTTTAATCCTAAAATTACTTTTCTTAATTGAAAATATAAAAAACGTATGCTATTCTGCTCTAATATTAAAGTAAAGGATATACGTTCTCATCTTTAACCAGTCCAATACACAGTTCTCTAAGACTTGTTTCATAGAGCAGTGAAACTTTGGTAGGTATTAATTTATTGTCTTTGCATTCAATTCTTGGCTTTGTTTACAATGGCGAATATTCGTTTTCTATGTATGTTGTACGCTATACAAATATCTTCACTTTCAACAATGCAAGTACTTAAAACAAAGTATTTTGTGGATTTATAGGCATTTATATAAAAAAAAAAATCTTTTTAGAAATTTCATGTGTCACTGTTCTATGATACAGGCCCAAGTCAATGTTGTAGGATAAACGACTAATCACGACAAAGTGCGACGAGATCAATTTATTGCAAATCATTGTACGAATAATAAACGCCGTTTTGGTTAACTTTTTTGTTTTAATTATTGTACTATGCACTAGAAACCAGTACAGCGTAAGATTTTACGTAATATAGTGTTGAAACTCTACCAAGAAAGATTTCCATGGCCTTACGCATGACAGGCTCTATGAGGGGCGCAGTAACAGCTTCGCTCTTTAAATACTGCTTTTTAATTAAATAAGGGTGACAAACGAACACACAGTCCAACTGATGGTAAGTGGATGCTGTAGCCCATAGGCATCTACATCTATCCTCAATTAGGAATCAAAATGCAGATGCGTTGTCACCTCTGAGGACTAAAATGGAGTCCCTATTTTCCGTAAATTTAGGTTATAAGGTTCTCCGGTTCTCTACACTCACCGTACGAAATACAGCAGTACAATTGGCGATCCGTAATATCGCAGGGGCTAAGCGCTCGATATAAATTTACAGTTAAAATCTGTTCAACGAGAGTGATAAATATTAATAAACATCTTATAAAAGCGACTGTCGCCTAAGTATCGCGATTTGTGTGACATTTGTGTTTTGTTTGGGCGTCGCTTATCGCCGCAAGCATAATTTTGTGGTAATAAGTTGGGTGTACCATGGAAGGCCACTCTAACAAATAAACAGTTGTAATTCGTTTATTTACTGGATAAATGAAACTAACAAATATTTAAGTAATACTTTGTTTTATTACATAACATATAAACCACTTTTTAAATTACAGTTTTAATCAATATTGATTGAATTTAAGTTTCATTGAACTCTTTCAAATGGCATTGCTGGGAACTAGGCTCCTTAGAAGGCCATTATAATAAATCAGTAATTTAACACTAAAATTTAATAAATAGCGATTAAATCTACAATAAAAAGAAGTGGTTTATATGTTACTTAATAAAACAAAGTATTACTTAAATGTTTGTTAGTTTCATTTATCCAGTAAATAAACGAATAATAACTGTTTATTCGTAGAGTGGCCTTCCATGGTACACCCACATTAACTTAACGTCGTCGATTCGCGAAATCAATGAAGCGAGAGCCCGTACTGCCAAAATATGTAGTAGCACGAACGTTCGCCGCCGCGTCTGTGATTTTCAGTTCGATGGGTGTTTGTATAAGTAGAAGGAATTTGTCATCAAATGGCAATAACTACGAAATTTTAAAAATTTGTCCTTCGAAGGAGCATGGCCTTCCATGGTCCACCCACCTTATATAGGTTTGCAGCTGTTGTCAAGCGCGAGGCCGACTTTTTTATTATCTATGTAAAATTAATTAGCGGGCTGCAATTTGTAATAAGTTTAGGAACCCTGCTTTTTATCCACTCTCGCCGAAAAACGAGTTTAAGCCTAGTCAGCAACAATGAAATTGTTATTGATTTACCACGTGCTGAGTGGTAGAAGAAAACATCGTAATTAAAGAGGTATATACGTGATAAAGCCACGCTACAGCTATATATTATGGTTGTAGCACGAATGTGTCGGCTCGACCGGGGAAGGACCACGCTCTCACAGAATGCCAGCGTAAAATAGCAACCTTAATATTGCTGTTTCGTATGGTGAGTGTAGAGATCCGGCGACCCTTTTTTACTGGAAACGAGGCATTTCATCTTATTCCTCTGGGGTGACAACGTATCTGTGTTTTGAAAATCGAGGATAGATGTAGATGTCTATGGGCTATAGCGTCGACTTACTATCAGGTGGTCTGTTCGCTCGTTTGTCACTCTTATTACCTGCCCACCACTTAGTTCGTGCCATCGACTAGGGTCACCTTAAGGGTCTGCAATCGGTTAGAATTATAATTTAAACGCAGAGGCGTTTCTGCCGTTATGGAACAGAAACGGCACATCCTTGAGTTACTTAATCCCAGGATGGACATGTGTTTTTAAGACAACAGTGTCCAGTTAGGATACTTTTTCGATTAATTAAAGTAAATTTTCGATGAAATAAAAAACTTACGAGCAACTATATGTTAAGTACCTACTATAAATAAAAATATTAATACTTACCATGTAGGGGCGGTATAAAAAATATCCACTACCCCATATCATCCCGTGGGTGTCGTAAAAGGCGACAGAGGGAAACAAACCAAAAAATGTTGCCAATCGACTTGCCAAGCGTGGTAAATATAACAAATATCCCCTCTTTGAAGTAATCTCTGGGGAAGGCCCATGTTTTAACAATGAACTTTTAATAAGCTGCAACGGCATTAAATATATCGTTATACAAATATTTATTTTTATTACATATTTTGGAATTTAAAAACAAGTTTTAATCTACTTTCTATAACAGCTTCTCGACAATTAACTAAAATAAAACAAATACTCGCGCAGGTACTTATAAAACGATAGACGTCTTCACGGTGTCAAGAGCTTCATGCCTGGGTTAACTTTACATGGGCACCGAACGGATAATCGTTTCATAGATTGCACGCAGGAAGACATAAACAACATTTTTATAAATTAATTAAAATGTTCACAATGTTATAAAATTGCGTATTGCTAAATACGATTCCACCTTCTGATTGATAAGATTCGACTACCGAAATTACCACAGAAATAGTAATACTCGTATTAATTACGATTTGTAAGGAAATTACTGATAGATTGAGTAAAATATAACTAAGAAACATCATTATCATCATTACACAGCCCAACACAAGTCCATTGCTAAACATATGCCTCCCTAAAGAATACCACAAAGCACGGTCTCAGAGCCACCTTTATCCATCTATTTCCTGCATCTCTGTGAAGAATATATGAATATTATTCGTACATGAATGCATAACCAAAATTACACAAATCAGAAATGGGAAGTAGCTGATATGCCGAGCATATATGCGTAGATATGATGGAAGCTAGGAGATGAGGTGTGTCAGGATTGTGCCAAATGGAAAATCCTCCGTAGTCTGCCTCTGATTCCAGGGTGTGAGTTTTAGTATATCTATATTCATAATAATGCGTGTATTATTGAGCGTGTAGTTGCGTTGTAAGAGTATCCAATACCCCATAACGTCTCATGGGCGGCGTAGGAGGCAACAGAAGAAAAGAAATCAGGAAACGGGCAGCAGCTTCAACCAAATATCCAATAGAAAATAGAAAACTGCGAGTAGCAACCCGCCTACTAAGCGTGGCAACTATAGACGTAGTACTATTACTTATTCTGTGACTATGGCTAGTATCCCCCCTAAGAGGCAACCCATGGAGGAGGCTTATGGTCAGCTGTGGACATTTGATATCCTGTAGTGAATTTTAATGAATTAAGCAATAATAAAAAAAATCTGAAAAGCCAAGATAGGCCAACCGTGGAACTTACCACTTTTTTCGAACGCTCGAAAATCTTCCAATTTTAAACTAAATAAAATTTTAAATGGCCATATCTTTTGAACGCCTCGTTCGTTTTTGATTTACTTGGTGTCATTTGACGCAGTTTTTCAAGTGCGAAATATTTCTCAGGTCTTGAGTCGATAGATCGAAGAAACAGTTGAAGAAGAGAAGAAGAAGCAGAAGCAGCAGATCGAAGAATTTAAAAGTTATTTAAAAAAACGATTGTTTATACATTTTAAATAGCTACGATTATTGAACGCGGCGTTCCATTTTGACTTACTTGGCGGCATTCGACGCAGTTTTTCAAGTATAAAAAAGTGTCTTTGATGTCTGGAGTAGATAAGTCAAATATTTTAAAGTTATATAGAAAAAACTTGAAAAGTATTTTTTGTTTTTTTTATTTTTAATATCTTTAAAACGGCTCGATCGATTGACTTAAAAATCTAATCAAATTGAAGTCTCAATGAAAACTTTCGAACGCCGTATCTAAAGATATAATACGACCATTTTTTTACACATATACACACAGACACGGCCGGACGTCCAGTCAGAAGTAGTCGGAACAGCTTCCTAGGATCTCAAAACGTGGAGATCTGGTGAAAACTCGCATTCTAAAAATCGGACCGTCACCTACAACTTCCTACTTTTGAAAATCAGTCAGTTCAGCAGTAGACTTGTGAAGGGCTGTAATGATGATAATGATAATGATATTATACATTTTAATAACATTTATCACCTGCCTACAATAATTACGTCATTAAAGTCGTTTTGATTGTGTAATGTGAACTTGTGAACTTCCTGCTTTAAAAATTAATGAAAATTGTTTTACATCTACTACCAAAGGTTGGTAACCACTGCCATAACTGTTCCTATACTTCGTCTCAAGCCATGTCACGTTAGAGTTCACATCTGAGAGAAACATGTTAAAGGACTATCAGTTATACATTTGCCATGCTAATAATTATATTAATACCACTACTGGTCGCTGCAGAATGGGTGGAGATAGCACAGAACAATTACAAAAAAGAAACATATAACACAATGACACCGTTATTTGAAGAAAGCACCAAGAAAAATACTATTTACAGAAATCATTCTTTTTCAAACCCACAATGGAGTAAAGGTTACGTACATAGAGTTCCTAGCACTGGAAACGTTAAAAGGCTAGATGGAATTGAAAGAAAACCCAGTGTAAAAATTGAAAGGAATCCATTTTTTCATGGCGACTTAAAAACTACAGAAAAACCAAAACGTAGATTTGAAACTAACAGGCCAAAATCCGTAAAACCTGTAAAAGTAGATAAAAATAATGCATATCCAGACAACGTTTCCCATGATCAGAGGGAATATATTCGACCAGCTTCCAAAATAGACTTTAATCGAATGACTCAAACTACCCCTGTGCGTAAATTAGTTTTTAGTGATGTGATGAATAATCAAAATCAAAATTTTAGAACTACGGCATCGCAAAATATAAATTCCGAAAGAGCCCCAGACACTGATAAAATTAATCTTAAAACAACATACCTAGATTCCAAAGATCCACTGGAAACGTTGCAGAAAGATTTTAAGAAAAAAAATGAAGAAAAAAAATTTGATGAAATAAAGGTTGAAGCAGAAAAATCCACCACTTTATCTGGCACCTATAAAAAAGATGTACGAAATAAAGTTAATGAAAACAAAAACGGTAATGAACAAAAGCAGACCAAAACGCAAAATATTAAAGTAAATGAAAAGAAAACGAGTGTAATTGAAACGTTGACGAAATTCTTAAACATAGTTACGCAGACGATAAATCAAAGTACACGAAGAAGTTTTAAAAGCAAAGTTAGATATTTAGAGAATCTAAAAAATACTTTATTAACGAGTATAGGTAAGTGATTTAAGTCTTCTTCAATTTCTAAACTCCGTCCGTGCGATCATGATCCCATCCCGGAAAAATTTATGTCTACTTTGCCCATAAGCCTAACTACTTCCTACCTTCATTACGTTCTTCGTTTCTTGTGGTGATCGTAAGAGTCGTATGGGCTTTCTTTTCTCTTTATTGAGAGACTTAATCACTAACGTGATTATGTCGCCCCGTTTACCAGTATACATAATATTATATTTTTCTTTTAACAGACAAGACAAGTCAGACAAGGGCTTCGCCAAAGAAATATTGCTGTCATCTAATTGAGAAATCAAATAATTAAATGTACTTCTTACATTCTGATTTCGGGCACACATAATCAGCATATGGTTAACACCATTGATAACCCCACAAAAGAGGCAGTTGCGTACGTCGTGGCTTTAAAAAACAGTAACATAATAATAACCATACCATGGTAGCTCAGGGGCTATGGGCTCGCTGTAAGTTTACACAGTACGTGAGCAACCCGTGATCAGCCCTGCCGGCACTTTTAAGAATCAGTTGCAATTTTAGGTTCTTGTTTATCATGGGCAAACCTGCATGTCTGATGACCAAATACTTAACGCTGCTTAATTTTAAGTTGCCGTTAAGTCTCGTGCTGTTTCTATCACTTTAAGTCAATGTTACTGTGACACCACGAGACTAAACGACATTTTAAAATTAAGTAGCGTTTGAGTACTCGCCAACGAGGAATTAAAATATTTCAGGTGTAGTACACCACCCCCCACCACTAGATGGAGTGACAACCTAATAGATACGCGGGAAGTCAATAGACGCAAGTGACTCACGACCGTGCTTTGTGGTCCTTGGGATGATGATGATGATTATGATAAGTAGTTTTTTGAATTTGCGCTTACCCGCCATACAGGGCAGATACACTTGAACTGATGGTGGAACACAATGCTAACCAATCACCATTCTTGAAAGTTACTGCAATAATAGACAATAATAACCCTGGTTCAAATCACGATTTGCGCGTACGTGTGGGCAATACGTTAACAACATTATTTCATAAATCTCAAGAGGACATTGGGATATTAGATCATAATCTTATTATATTTTCATAAAAATCTAATTTGTAGTTTTTATAACAAAAAATGTAACTGTCAGGAATCATCCAGACTTTGATAGTGAGAGGGTAGAGCGAATAGTACCTAAACTCATTTTTTTATCATTTTAGAATCCCGAATAGACTCAGCCTTCCCAGATGATGACACTGTTGAACATCGACAGCGCCGATTCGCAGGAGTGGAATCACGTGGACATGTCGAAGTTCCTTCATCAGAAAGTGCTCTCATGACTATATCTTTCCTTACCTTCGCGGTTTTCCTCATCAAACTCGTTTTGGTACGTAATAAAATTGTAAGATGTGGTGTAAACACTTATGATATATATATATATATATATATATATTTGATATAGATATTTAGTGTGTCTGTGGGGCACAAGCACAATATTCACAACATTTAAGTGGGCTTTTTGTTCATTTGTCACCCGTACTTCAATATTAAAATTGTTTTTACTTTGATAGCAACGGCAACTTAGCTACTAGTTAGTGCTTAACAGTACAATATCTTTCACAACTTGTTTAATTTTGCAATTGGACAGAGATAAGAATTTGCGCATTACGGGATTTTAGTGCACGAGTGTGTGCGCAAACAAGAGTACACTCTCTATTCACCCACTCTCATGGTTCTATAGGGCGGATATCAGACACGACTGGTGATAGATCGGGCTATTTATGGCAAGGAGTTAAAACACAGCCAAACGTGCGAGAGGTCTGATACCGCGATCCCCGATCCGCCATAAATGCGTCCGTAAAATCCACTTTACGATAGGCCCTTGTCAAACTATTCTACTTAGCACTTCTATTTAGCTGTTGAAAATGAACAACAGAATGCAATAAGGACATTTCTGTCTAGAGTATTGATAACTGGATTAGGCCCGACAAGACATTTGTCTTGGTAAATTTAATTTTTTCCGACGAAAGAATAACTATATTTCATTTCACTTCATTTAAGCTATGTGTACTAGTTGGTAGTTAAAGATAAACGTACTTACTGGGCAAAGGAAACAAATTATTGGTTTTCGGTTAACTAGTCGCTCAACTATCCTATCCTGCCTACCGTTATCACAAAAGCTTTAAGTTGGCCATACGTAGGTTTAAACTAATGAGTGCCACTGCGTTTGTCCATATGTCGTATCCGCCAGTAGTACATCTAACATCATTACGTCTTACACCAAGTAATCAGGTTACTAATGGTTTTTTCAATGAAATAAAGATGATAAGCGAGCACAGAGTCCATCTGGTAATAAGTGGATGCTGCAGTCGAAAACAAAACAACAAAATAATTGTAGTTAAGAACTTGTGAAATTAAATTACCAAAAATTTTTTGCGTGCACAGCAATATAGCCTTAAATGTACGAATTTTAATAGACTAAAGCGTAAGGGTTTTTTATTTATTTATAGAATTAGTGTGAAAAACGAGCACACAGTCCACCGGATGGTAAGTGGTTGCTGTGGCCCAAGACATTTACATTTAACCTCGATTAAAAATCAAAATGCAGATGCGTTGTCAACCCTGAGAACTAAGGAATGTCTCGATTCCAGTAAAACGGGTCCCCGGTTCTGTGCACTCACCATACGAAACACAGCAGCGTCAAGCTGCTATTTTACGCTGGTATTCTGTGAGAGCGTGGGCTTTCCCCGGTCGAGCTGTCTCTTACGTGCTAATATAGCCGCAACGTGGTTCTACTGTACTACCTAACTTACCTACCTACTGTTAAATTTACAAGCTCGATAAATTTAACAGTTCACGAGTACCTAACCCCTCTTTGATCTCCGCACCAATAAAATTATTACATAATGGTAATTTTAAGTGATAACTTAACGTGCTCAGCTGTACATCGTGAAGATATTTTTATTACATTGAAATACGGCTGTAACTTAACTTAACTTTATAATTTACTTACAGCAAGTGATACATACCTACAAAGCTAAAACGATGATGATGTCTCCGGCGGTCTTTGCCACAGTTGGAAGGGGAGCAGCAAAAATGAAGAAGTTCACACGCAACTAATAAACCTATTTATAATTTTAGGTCTTATGAAAATCTTAAAATTTACTTACAATAAAGTTAGACTACCAAAACTTAAAAATAATTATTAACGACTACTATAAGGTTACATTTCGCCCGCAGTTTGATGATTGTCATATTGTTGTTTTTTCTTTTACTTTTATAAACTAAAGCTTTTTTTATTTCTTACATGACCATGAATAGAGGTTACGTCTGACGAAATAAAAGTTCAGCATATGCTAATGAGTATTTTATTCACACAATTCTTCACAATAATAATCTGATGAAGTTTTTGGAAGATTTTGTCGACAGCCGAACAGCAAAATTTTAGAACTACGGCATCTCAGCAGATAGATACTGTCAGACTCACTGTCGCTCTCTTCGCTGATTACACTTACTTGTCTAATCCTTTCTGCTCCTTTAAACGTATGTCTATATTTTTTTTTATTTCAAATATTTATTCATTATATTATGTACACATTTATCAATTATATAATTATAATAGGTCCTTACAAAAAATTGGTTCAATTCAGTTAAAATGATCAGTTGAGCTCACGTACATCAAAAAAACTGACCGTGAGTGTGGAATCTTAAGTTGAAATTTTCAACGCACTGTCAGTTGAAACTGCTCAGTCAAACTGACGTAAATCCAAAAACTGATTTACGGGCACGCCGTAATCCGCTGGCTTCAGTTCATTTTAATTACTGGTATGTACCTACTTTCTTAGTAGCTACATACATTGTTTCTGTGCTATTATTTAGATTTTTTATTATTTTATATATTTAGAGAATTTCATTTGACGGAGGATGAAAGCTATGGTGACTGTGATGATGGCACCTTCCTTTTAATTGACTCAGAAGATGGGTAAAGTATCTTAGTGATGCTACATAGAACCATCATGTTTTTTTCAACTCATTTTCAAAAAGATTCATGAAGACCTAGATGACTATGATGATAGCACCTAGCTGATGATGGACTCCAAAGTAGTAAATAGGGCGGTGGTGGAAACTCATTTGAAAGGGCACATAAAGACCCAGGTGACTATTATGATCTCACCTTTCTGATGGTGCAATACGAAAATGGATATAGGATCTCAGTGACGCCACTAGATAGGACAATTGTGTTTAAACTCATTTGAAAATATAATGTACCTATATGTTATGTAACTTAATACAATACGAAAAATTTATTATTTTATAAAACTCAACATATTTGATTATAAAACAAATCAAATAATTATTTTGTAATTCAAAAATTTTTTTCTTTTTTGTTTTAAACATTACCCTCACACTAGGATTTTCTTCTGTATTTTGGAGGCAGTTTAGGATAAACAACCAGACCGGGAACAATTATTTGTAGATCGTATAAATACCTATTCCGTGCGGGATTCGAACCCGCGGCTCCCAACGCAGCAACTCATCGCTAAGGCACTGCGCCACAGAGCTTGTTTATTTTATCTTTTTTGTACAATCTTATGCTGTGGCCACACTAACGAGAAATGCCGTTAATTATCGCGTTGATGGACGTTGAATGTAGGTGTGGCCACGACTTAACGCGTTAATTTGACAATTACATTAATGGTCATACACGGTCATTTAAAGTCATCAGTCGAACTGGTATCAGTAACGGATTTAAGCCAAAGAAATTCCCACACACACGATCAGTTCAACTGATCATTCCAACCGATCAGTCCAAATTAGGACTGTGATATTTTTTTAAATATCATATTTTTGATATATCAGTAATAATAAATATATCAATATTGGAGATCTATACAACGTAAGTTAATACACAGTAAGTCAATATCGGAGTTTTATAAATCGAAAAAAATATCGATATATCGGCTTCATTTAAAAAAACAACCGTAAGTCATTTTAATTTAGTTCATTTATTATATTTATTAAGCGAATTAAATTATAAATGTATGAAAATGTTAGATTATAGTTCCTTTTAATTATTGTTTAATTTAAATAAGACGATTATGTGTACCATATATTTGCGTAAGAGTTTTCAAAAATACTCGTTGTTTTATATGTTCTGCTCTCAAATATGTTTAGAAGCACAGGTGCTACAGATCTAGCTGAATAAATTAAATATTTAACAGCTATTTAGATAGAACGGGAGTAAACTGTCTACCCAGCAGATAGTCGATGACGACATTAACTCAAGTTCATAAGACGCCTAACCGATTAAAATAACTTGAGGTTTATATTAACATCGAAGCATTTGTTTCGTCGTTTTCGCTAATAGTTTACACGCGCAGACACTTAAATCACTAAATCGCATCACTTTTACGAATCAAAATCCACTTCAAACCATTGTTCAAGTGATAAAACAGAAGCAAAATCCGTCGACGGTCAAGTTCCCGTCAAAACACACAGTTAGTAAAGTAGTTATAAGTTTCTAATTATATAAGTATATAATATATAATATAATTATATATAATATATATAAGATTATAGTAATTTTAATACCACAGAGATATACTATATAAAATTACATTTATTTTTAAGATAATAAGCAAATAAATAAACTGGGGGAAAATTAATAGAATAAAATAAAGTACAGAAGATTGGGTAGTAGTAGATTAAATGATTTACGAGACAAAATAAAAAATTAAAACTTTTTATAGAAAAAATATCGACTGCCGATATTCATATTTTAACGCTTAGCCCAACGCGCGACCATGAAATCGCTCCTACTAGCTCCGCCCCTCCGTCGAGCATCGAGCGAACGCGCTAATGCTGGTGCTACACTAAAAGGAAACGTCAATGCCTACAAACGCAATAAGTATTGCTTTAAATTTAACGCGATAAAGTTGGCTACACTTGAACGCTTCACGTCATTAAATTTCAATGCCATTGTACGGCGTTAAAGTTATTTCCATTATAGTTCCTTGAAGACTTTTTATATTTGTTAAAAATGGTTCTATAAGAACCCATTAGGTTTTCTTTCGCCTTTCTAATTCTTAGATAGTTGTATTAAAAGATAATAATTGGATAATTCGTCGCAAAGCATCATTTTGCGCTGTACAATTCTTAAAACTTTTGAGTCTCGGATCCCACAAACATGGCTCTATTTACAGAATCTTAAGAAACGTAATAACTTTTTTTTATTCCGCTCCATCGTAGCCACACGTGCGACCTCGTTGCGCTCATCGTGCACAGTCAAACAAACGTAGTGTGGCCGCTTCAACGTGTTATTTCGTGCATTAATCTTTTTGATGTACCACTACTCGAGTTATCGCCAAACGGCAAACGGCATTGTTAATGTCATTGTCAAATTAACGCGTTAAGCTGTGACCACACCTACATTCAACGTCCATCAACGCGATAATTAACGGCATTCCTAGTTATTTCTCAGCATAAGATTGTACAAAAATGATATAATAAATAAGCTCCGTGGCGCAGTGGCTTAGCGATGAGTGGCTGCGTTGGGGGCCTCGAGTTCACATCCCGCACAGAACAAATATTTGTATGGTCTACAAATAATTGTTCTGGGTCTGAATGTTTGTCCAGACCCGGAACAATTATTTTTAGACCGCCTCCACAATTTATGTTTGTAAACTGCCTCCATGATACAGGAGAAAATCCTCGTATGAGGGGGGGGGGGGGGCTAAAGTTTAAAAAAAAGTCTAGAATTAATAAAATAATTATTTGATTTGTTTGATAATCAAATATGTTGAGCTTTATAAAATAATAAATTTATCGAGTTCAAACATCGTCCTATCTAGTGGCGTAACTGAGATCCTATATCCACCTTCGTATTGCACCATCAGAAAGTTAAGATCATCACAGGCACCTTGGTATTTAAATGAGTCTAAAAACGATGGTTCTACGTAGTGGCATAACTGAGATCCTTTACCCAGATATTGAGTTCGCCTTCAGGAATGTGAGATTATCACAGTTACCTGGGTCTTTATGAGCCCTTTCAAATGAGTCCAAACACAGTGGGTTCTTTGTAATTCCTTCACTGAGATCCTAAACTTACCTTCGGATTCCACCATAAGGAAGGTGAAATCATCACAGTCATCTAGGTCTTTATGAATACCTTTCAAATGAGTGCAAACACAATGATTCTATAAAGTGACGTCACTGAGATCTTTAACCCACCTTCGGAGTCCACCATCAGCTAGGTGATATCTATCTATTAAATGCTGTCTATATTGCGCCTAACCAAAAGAGTGATGTATACTTGAGCTATATAGAATATTTGTCTGGTATAGTTAATCAATACCAATTATGTAATAATTTTTATCTAGTAGGAGACTACAATATGCCATCTATAGATTGGAATGATATGGATCTTAATTTTGAAACTAATTATTTTTCCGATATATCAATTTCACGTAATAGTTTAATAAATTTTATATCACTTTATATTTTACACAAATTAATACATATACAAATTCAAATAATGTAATTCTAGATCTATTTATTACTAACATAAATGACTATATATTATGTCCAGCCCCTATTCCATTAGTAAGTACTGATAAACATCATCCTCCATTTTATGTAATAGTGCCTTTTGCTGAGAAGATACGAGGCATGCCGATTAAACACACACTTACTGTTTTGAAAGTGCGGACTACGTATTGATTAATAAAGTAATGTTAGATACTGAATGGAAGGCTTTGATGAAAGACGACGTTTCTGCTGAAGCTGCTGTGGACTTATTTTATAACGGAATATATGGTATAGGCATACGCAAGTATATAGTAAAGAAAACTGTAAAAAACAGCAATTATCCTAAGTGGTTTGATTCATCATTGATACATATCTTCAAAAATAAAAATAATGCTTGGGTTAAATGGAAAAAGTACGGAAATTTATCAGATTATAAAACATTTGCATTGTACAGAAAACGTTTTAAAACTGAATCTAAATTACGTTATACTCATTATATGGATACTGTCGAGAATTGTGTAAAGCAAAATATTAAATATTTCTGGAAATATGTAACAAATTGCAAAAGCAGCCTAGAAACTCCGTCAGAATTT